TCAGCCACTAAGGACGCAAACATATAAAAAACACCATCAGTTGAAAGAATGTCAGCAGAATATATTTCTCCTTCTTTATCTAGTCTCTCCATGGCTTTCTGAAAGCACCTGAAAGATGAATAAATATATTATGGTACAGGCTTCCACCAAGTAAATCCTGCTGCCTCCATTGCATGACGGGTCCCTTTTAACTGAGCCAATATTTGTATCTATGACCTCAGCAAAAGAACAAGGAAAACAAAATGGTAAATCTTGGTCCCGTTCTTTTTGTTGGTTGCAATTGTGTTATTTTTCTGTTACTTATTGTTCCAGAGACAATGTTCTCTTTTCAAATTACAAGTGAGGCCATAGTCCCTAGCTACCCCCTCCCAAAAAAAGTATTATTCACATATGTAGTGCCAGATAAACCCAAAGAACAAATGACTCCAAAACCTAAATAAATAATCATCTGTCAATATCTCATTAATATGGTAAGAAGGAGCAGTCAATGAGTTGAGAGTCTAGCAACAGTTTAACTGGCTTGGTATCCCCAGCCAAGATGTGCTACTTAACCCTTGGAAATGGTGTTGTCAAACATGTGTGTCTCTTGATACTTCCCACCTATGTGTCCCCCAAAAATAAAAGGTATTTCAGGGTCTCCCTTCTCTGCTCAATCAGAAGCAGCCTCAATGGAGGTTTCAGCCAAGAAATCGAAAGACCGAGGTTCAAAAGGGCAGAAAAGATCGACAGGTGTCAGGATGTGCCCCTGGAGACCGAGATCATCCACACTCATGTATTTCCACTCACCGTGTATGGGTGTGAAAGCTGGAAAGTGAAGAAAGCTGGGAGGGGGGAAATGGATTCTATTGAAATGTGGTGCTGGAGGAGAGCTTGGGCTGGCAGAAGGACAGACAAGTGGGTCCTTGGAACTAATCAAACCTGGACCATCTCTGGAAGTGGAAATAAGGAAACCGAGGTTGTCCTACTTTCGGCACATCATGAGAAGGCGGGATCTTCTAGAAAGGACAATAATGGTGGGGAAGGTGGAAAGCAGCAGGAAAAAAGGGAAAACACAATGTGAGATCGACAGACTCCCTATAAGGAAGCCACAGGCTTGACTCTGCAGGAGCTGAGGTGGGACAGGACAATTCAGAGATCGCTCCTTCCTGAGGGCCCCACAGGTCGGAAGCAACTGGATGGCACATGAACAA